CTACTCTGTGTTCTGGAAGATAAATTAAAGTAAGTATATAAAGAGCCAGGAAAGGCAGTGTGTTGTTGAGGTTACAGTTTGCAGAACAGGGTTCAGTGCTGGGTTCTGTTGCTTACTTAACTTTGCCCTTAAGCAAAAAGCTAGTGCAGGATTTAAAGTGTAAGACAAGGAGGTAAAAGACCTACACTTGGAAACTTGTAAGACCTTAAAGAATTTGAAGAAGATACAAATAAATGGAAGTATACATGATGCTCACGAATTGGAAGAATTAACGTAGATAAGATGTCGATATTACCCAAAGCAATCTATAGAGTCAACACCATTCCTATCAAAATATCAATGGTGTTTTTCCTAGAACTAGAACAAATAATCCAAAAATTTGTATGCAACCACTAAAACACCCCAAATAGCAACAGCAATCTTGAGAAAGAAGAACAGAGTTGGAGGAATTAGCTAAGATTTGGAAGCAACTCGAGTGCCCATCAATGGACAAGTGGATAAAGAAGTCATGAGACATGTACCGTGGAATGTTACTTGCCATTAAAAAGCATGAAATCTTACCATTTGCTTCAGCAGGGATAGACCTAGAGGGTGTTATGCTAAGTAAAATAAGTCAGACAGTGAGAGACAAGTACTGTATGAATTTGCTTATATGTGGAATCTGAAAACAGAATAAACAAAATAGAAACAGACTCACAGACACAGAGAACAGACTGATGGTTGCTAGAGGGGAGGGTTGGGGACTGGGTAAAAATGATGAAGGAAGTCTGCCTGGTGTGGCTCAGTGGTTGAGCGTTGACCCATGCACCAAGAGGTCACCAGTTCGATTCCTGGTCAGGGCACATGCCCAGGTTGTGGGCCCAATCGCCAGTGGCGGGGGGGCATGCAGGAGGCAGCTGATCGATGTTTCTCTCTCATTGATGTTTTTATCTCTCTCTCCCTCTCTCTAAAATCAATAAAGGAAAATAAATAAATAAATAAAATAAAGTCATCGTGTTCCCAGGAAGCCGCAGGCTCTGGTCCCACACAAACGTTAATGCCAGACACAGCAGCCCTGGTAGCAATGAGTCCATCAATGGGCAGCCTCTGACAAGGCAGCCGGTCTGGAGGCTGCCCCTGGAGGGTGCCCCTGGTGGGCACACAGTATGAGCTGCCAACAGCAGGGAGCAGGGCCAACCACCCCAGGGAACACTCCCTGTCAGCCGTAGGAACAGGTGACACAGCCCATGGCGGAGCTGGGGCCCTGGCCACCTCACGCAGACCCTGGAATCGAACCACACTGCACAGGACCCGGGCTTCCCGCTGAGCAGCTCCCCTGAGACACAGCTCTGCAGCACTCAGCCACGCAGGGATCCCGTGACTCAGACACACTTGCTTTCCTGTCAAACCAGGGGTGCTCTGAGTCTCCCCACGTCCTCTGTGCTCTGACCTCTGCTCATCAGCCACTTGACACACACAGATGATGTTTTCTCACAAACTCACGGAGGCACATGGAAAGTTGCAGGGACCCACAAGGCAACATTCCGAGCATGCTGCCAAGTGTGGGCACAGATGGCATCACAGGGCAGGGTGGGAAGTTTGAGGTGCTCAGGAAGCCTCCGGGAGCCGTGGAAATGTGAGGGCATGGATGACTGCCATGTGCCCTGCCGGGTGTGCCTTCCGACCACCAGTCACCAGCTCCAGCCAGTGTGAGCGGCCACTGCACTTCCTGTCTGGTTGTCTCCTGCCGACCCCTGTCCCTCCCTGCAGAGTAGTGGGGACCCATGCAAGTGGAAAGAGGCAGCCTTAGGGGAGGGGCCTGGGCGCCCCCTGACCTGGTGGAGCCCCGCCCCCTTGATGGCGCCACACCCAGACTGTCGCTGTGAGTGAGACAGCCTTCACCTACAGTCCTGTGTCTTGGGGTCTTTTAAATGTTTAATTTCCACAAAACTTCAGACATCGGAAAGTAGCAAGTACAGCATGCCCCCTTTACCCAGATTTTCCATTTCACTGTATTTATCTTTTCCTTTCTTCCTCTAATGTGTATTTTTTCCTGAACCATTTGGCAGTGAGCCTGCGTGGTACCTCCTGTCTCCCTGGAACGGGGTGCTCTCCTGAGTCCACGAGCCGCGCTCCGGAAACCTGATCTGGATGAGCATCCAGACCACAGCGCCGCTCTGGTGCCCACAACGTCCTTCCCGCACAGGGAGCCGGGGCTGGCACAGCCACGGGGCACCTTTCTCAGTCTCCTTTTGCTGGAAACAGTGCCCACATCTCTTCAGTGACATCAACACTTGAAGAGTTCAGGCCCCTTCCCTGGCCCGCTGGCCCCGGACTGGGGTTTGTGTGACAGTCCAGGGTTCTCAGGGGGCCCAGGCGCCGCGGGGATGGCGCACCTCGCAGGCTGGTGTCTGCGCACCTCCAGTCATTCTGGTCCTGGGCCCCTGTTCGAAGCCTTCTGATCAAGGTGGAGTCTGCCGGGCTCTCCAGCCTGAAGCGAGTCTTGCTCCCCGCAGTGAGGAGCGCCGAGCGGTGAGCGGCCAGTCTCTGCAGCCCAGGAGGACACGGACCAGGACGATCTGCGTTTCCCTGGAGACCAGGCTGCCGCAGACACAAGCTCCTGGGCGCTGCCAGTAGCTGGGACTATTCCCTTCACACCCTCCCCTGATTCACAACAGGCAGGGGATTATCACCATTCCCTGGGACACATTGAACCTAAATATTGCTAAACATAGCCCAGACGGAGACAGGAGGGTATTTCCCACTGTACTAGAAAAGCTCACAGCAGGATGCAGGCCCCGAGGACAGGGAATCACTCCACCCTTTGGGATGCTTTGTGTGTCCAGGCCAGACGGCCGGCCCAGCCCCTCCTGTTGTCCTGGAAACAGTCAGGACAACCCCTTTTCACCAGGACACCCTATTTAGCCATACCCTCCCAGAGTCTCAGCCCCCACAGGAGGAGGTGTGCTCACCTGGGAAGTGAGGACAGAGGAGGAAGCCAGAGGGGACCCTGTCCTGTCCGTGGTGACTCTGGAATCCATGGGTGAGGAAACATTCCCACCCTGGGCCCAGGTGCTGCCCCACTGCTCCGCCCTCCTTCCCCATCCAGTCCAACCACCTCTGCTGTCCCCAGCGCTCAGCATGTCTTAACATGGCTCCTGGATTAGTAGGTTCACCCGGGAGCGAACACCCTAGCATGGATCCCTCCCATGTCAACTGGGGAGCAGAGTCTCTCCCAGCAAAGGGGCTCAGGGTCACTCCTGCTGAGCCCTGCCCTCCTGTTAGACCTGTTAGACCACTTCTACACCAGTGTCCTCATCTGCAAAAGGGGATCCCGCTTCACCAGAGGGTTAGGTCACGAGGCACACAGGTCCCTGTCTGCACGTCAGACCCTGCGCTGAGCTCACCCCATGCCTCCATCACGCAGCTGGGGCCCCGGGACCATCCCTGTGTCTTACTCGAGCTCACTTGAGAGAACCTGCAGCTGTCCTGATGTCCTGCTGAACAAGTCCCGACAATTCAAGTCCCTGTGTCACCTGCCAGAGCACGCTGGACGCCTGCCCTCCATTCCCACAGGACTCGGGCCACGGCATCCAACAAACCTGAAATATTTTGAAACTACAATGTCAGGAGGCTCACGGGGCTCAAGCTCAGGGTGCAGAGGTTCACTTCAGATTCTGCAGAGTGTTCTCTGTCTGAGCCCTGGAATCGGAAGAGGCTGCCAGCTCCGGAGTGGATGCCTCAGGGCTCGGGGTGCGGGGAGTGTGGTGAGCATTGAACGAGGCCTCCCTGCCCCGCGTGCACACAGCCAAGACCTGGAGCCCACTGCCTGGCACTGCCCCACACAGACCTTCCCTGCCGCAGCCTCCGGGGAGGGCTGTCAGTCACAGCAACGGAGCGACGGAGCCGTGAACTGGAAACGTCGCTGAGTCTGTGACAGTCACTGAGAATGAACAAGAGAACACGACTGACTGTGCTGTGTCCTCCTGGGGGGACATCAGGTTGGAGATAGCGCAGCCCTGACACCCCTCCCCCACTGCGGCCCTGAGACAGACAGAACTGAGAACCGGGAACCTCGTGCTCATGGCCATTATTTCTTGGGAGAAGGAAGGAGTGTATCTCCTACTTGTTCATATCTAAATCCTTATTTTACTAACAAGCTTTATTCATGTCTAAAACCTTAAAAAAAACTTCATTACTTAATCGATTCCTGTTAAAGGGACACACAGATTCTAACCTGTTTATAACATGCAGGGCAGAAAGTGTACACACGGACCATGCAGGACGAGGGGGTGGTAAAGGTTCTCTGAGACCCCACCGCCCGGGCTCCCAACGCTTCCGTCACAGTCCTCACAGTGGTCCCCTCCCCGTCATCATATATTCATTCCTGGGGCTTCTACTTTTACACATAATCTTTGTCTCTTAGGGACTCTACCTCTCAATAAAGATTGTCTTTACTGGAAGTGAACCACCGCAGCCTCGTGCCCTGGGCAGTGCGCGGGTGCGCTGACGTCACTCCCGTGAACACCCACAGCAGGACACCCCGGGACGGAGACCAGGTTGTGAGGGGCTGAGGGGAGGGTGAGCAGGACTGAGGCAGGGGCTGGCTTTGTCGGGGGACAGGCTCTGACCTAGAGCGGGGTCGTGATGACGGACGGTCCTGAAAGGCTGTGAGTGTGCTCACGGCTGCTGGAATGAGCACTCGACGGTCAGTTACATTTCATGTCACTTCACTTCAACACCGTTTTATTACATTTTATTTAAAATATATTTTATTTTAACTCAATAGGTTATGAAAATAAAGGGTTTTTCTCCTGTGAGGATGGAGTTGACTGGGAAGCCCAAGTGGGTGGTGCTGGGGCCACGTGGCTGGCGGGCAGCTGGGGACCAGGGCTGGGCCCTCCTGGGCTCGGCCATGGCAGGGCGAGGGCAGGGCTAGAAGGTGGACTGGGAGGGTCCGAAGATGCACATGGGGAAGTGCTTGATGTGGGAGGGCCAGCGGGCTGCCAGCTGGAAGAACTTCACATCGTTCCCCTCCACGCCGTCAATGATGACGCGCTGCAGGCTCTGACGGGGCTCCGTCCCCAGCAGAAGTCCTGCTTCCCCTCAGACCAGCTGGACAGGATGACGAGGGACTTGGTCTTGGTGATGCACCTGCTGAACGGCCGCTTCTCGCTGAACACGTCCAGGGCTGAGGACTTAGCCTCCAGGCTGTCCTCGGGCTGTGCCAGCTGCTCCCCGGGGATGGTGGTGCTGTTGGCCATGGAGCTGGAGACACTGTCGCTTGGCTGTCTGCCCGGGGCCCGTATCTTCTCGGGAATATCGGCGGGGCTCAGAGGCTCCTGCTGGCTCTGGCTGCTGTGGATGCTCCCGAGCTCTGTGTGGGAGCTGCAGTGCGACGAGCCTTTGAGGTAAGGCCTAAGCTTGGGCTTCGGGGTGCTGGGGACACCGTCATGGTCCTTCATGTTGGGGCCACTGTCGCTGGGGTTGTCCAGCATTTTATACGAAAGGCCCAGGTCCTCCTGCACCCTCGGGACGTGCTCTGCAGGGTCCTGCTCCGTGTGCAGGACCTCCTCCAACACTTTGAACTTACGCAGCTGAGCCACAATCCTCTGTTTGAAGTTTTCTTGCTCCGTCATGGACGTCACTCTTTCTGTTGATTGATGCTGTTTCTTGGGCTTCCCCACGCTGAGGTTGTCCTGGTCCAGGTCCGGCCCGTGCACAGCAGTATCTCTGGCCTCCTTCTCAGACGAGAGGCTCTCATTCTCCTCCTTGGAGCAGTTATGCGTGGACTTGGGGCCGGCCTGCATGGTGCTGTCCTCCTGGCCGATGGGCTGGCTGGACAGGGACAAGATCCAGACCTCGGCGACCTTCTGGGAGGCCTCCTGCACACTGCTGCAGAGGCTCAGCACGTGGTCCCCCTCAGGGGCACGCTGTACCACCTCGGCCAGGTGGATGGCGCCTGTGGCCAGCGTCTTGTAGCCCCGGGTGCTCCTGTCCTTCCTCTGCTGCAACATAATCTGTACATTGTTCTTTTCTCCCTTTAAACAGTGGGGGTGCGGCAGTGACAGGGTCAGGACCAGGTCGGTCTCTACTTCTCCACTGGGAGGCAGCACAATCTCGCGGGACCGCAGGATGTGCTTGGAGCCGTGCACCTTAGCAGCAATCACCACGGACATGAGCTCCTTCTCCAGCTCCTTGAACACCACTAGTCTCTTCAATATCAGGCTGCACCACCTGGGCACGTAGCTGGGGCTGGAGACGTCCACCTTCCCGGCAGCAAACAGGTTCACGGGCACTGGCGTGTTGAGAGTGAGGGGGGCACCGGCCAGACCCATGGATGATGGTGAAGCTGCAGCTGCCTGCGTCATACAGGTCTCATTTCTATTCGGGGTTGGTGAGGTCTCCCCCTGGGGTGGCACAGAGGAGGAACATGCTGTCAGAGACAGTTCATGAGCTGCCAGGTGGGTTGGTGCTGCAGCTCAGACCCCATGCACTCAGTGACTTGTGGAAGAAGTGGGACAGGAGTAAATGCAGAAGAGAAATGGTTCTTGGCAGGGAAGTAGAATTGGAGGTGAGGGATGGTGAAGACATTAGTGTCTCGGGTCATTTTCTGAGCAGAGGGTGGACAGCACCTCCTATATTAATACTGTCACCCCTGGGATTTCTGACTACACATCCCATCTAATATGGGAACACAGAGGCTTTTCCCATTCTAATATGGGGTGGGAGGGGTCAGGAGATTAGGACACATGAGAGGTTCAGGGCAGGACGGTTGAAATGGACACAGAAGGGGATCACGTCCAGGTCCCTCAGCAGTGAAGAGATGGATCGCCTTCAGAACAGGCCCTGCTCCTTGTATGTTGTGCATCCCTGAGAGGCCCCAGCTCCTGTCTGGAGGAGCCACAAGGATGTGGTCCTTGGGGAAGCAAATGACAAAACTACAGATTTGGTACCATGAGCTTCATGTCCCTTTTGGGAAATCATCACTAATCACAGTGATGTGTAAGACTGGGAGCAGGTGTGCAGGGATTGTCAGCCCACAGGCACACTTGGGGATGGGCCTTAAACAAAGAAGGTCCCTACATAATTCTAAAGGAATCAATCCAACAAGGCGATATAACCCTAGTAAACCTATATGCACCTAATATAGGAGCACCTAAATGTACAGAAAAAACTCTTGGAGGACTTTAAGGGAGAGTTTGACAGCATTACAGTCATAGTAGGGGACTTTAACACCCCACTGACTTCACCAGATACATCTTCCAGACAGAAAAATTAAGGAAACAGTTAACCTAAATGACACACTAGACCACATGGATTTATTTGACATTTACAGAACATTTTCCTCAAATTCTGAAGAATATACATTCTTAAGCGCAGATGGGATATCCTCAAAGATGGACCACATGTTAGGAGACCAAATAAGTCTCTACAAATTCAAAAAGATTGAAATCATATCAAACGTCTTCTCGGATCACAATGGCATGAAACTGAAAATCAACTACAATAGTTACACTCCACAACATTCAAGCACATGGAGGCTAAAGAGCATGTTATTAATCAATGAATGCATTACCAATGAGATCAAGGAAGAAATTTAAAAATTCTGGAAACAAATGAAAATGAACACACAACCTAAAACCTACAGGACAGAGCAAAAGCAGTCTTGAGAGGAAAGTTCAAAGCATTACAGGCCTATCTCAGGAAATGAGAAAAATCTCTAACAAAAGATGACACCCTGCATCTAAACAATTAGAAAGAGAACAAAAAACACTCAGAGTAAGTAGGAAGAAGGAAAGTATAAAGATCAGAATGTAAATAAATGACATAGAATCTCAAAAAACAATACAAAAGATCAGTGAAAACAAGAGCTGGTTCTTTGAAAAGATAAGCAAGAACAAAGAGCCTCTGGCCAGACTCATCTAAAATCAAAGAGAGACGACCCAAATAAATAAAATCAGAGAGGGAAGAAGCAAAGTAACAACTGATACCTGAAATCCAAAGCATTGTTAGAAAACATGACAAACAACTGTATCCAACAAACTGGACAACTGGGAGAAACGGAAAAATTCCTAGAAACATACAATCTTCCAAAACTGAATCATGAAGAATCAGAAAACCTGAATAGACCAATAACAACTATTGATGTAGAAGCAGTAATGAAACAACAACAACAACAACAAAACAAAAAATAAATAAACTCCCACAAACAAAAATACTGGACTGGATGGCTTCACAGGGGAGTTTTACCAAATATTCAAAGAAGAACTAACACCTATCCTCCTCAAACTATTTCCAAAAAATTCAGGAGGAAGAAAGACTTTCAAGTTATTTTTATGAGATCAGCAATATCCTAATTTCAAAATCAGATAACACAGTACAGTCCAATGTCCCTGATGAACACAGATGCCAAAATCCTCAACAAACTGTTCACAAATTAGATCCAGCGATATATTAAAAAGATTATTCTCCATGACTAAGTGGGATTTATCCCAGGGATGCAAGGCTGATACAATATTTGCAAATCAATAAATGGGATACATCACAGAAACAAAATGAAAGATAAAAATCATAGGATCATATAAATAGGTGTAGGAAAAGCACTCCACAAAGCCCAGCACCCATCTGATAAAAACTCTCAGCAAAGTGAAAATAGAGAGATCATACCTCAACATAGTAAAAGCCAGACCTCAGAGGGAAGGGGGGTGGGGAGTGGGAAGAGATAAATCAAAACCGTACATGCATATATGCATAACCAATGGACACAGACAGCAGTGCAGCAAAGGTGGGGGTGGAAAATGGGAGTGAGGAGGAGGGTAACAACGGGGAGAAAGGAAGGACATCTGTAATAAAAACAAATTAATAACACAAACAACAACAAAAAGACGCTTGACTAAAAAAAAATAATAAAGGCCATATGTGACTAACCTACAGCCAACATCATACTCAATAGACAGAAACTAAAAGCAGTTCCCTTAAGATCAAGAGCAAGGCAGAGATGTCTGCATTCACCACTCCTATGGATCCTAGTACCAGAAGTCCTAGCCAAAGTGATCAGACAAGAAGAAAAAATGAAGGTACCGACTGGAAGGAGGAAGTGAAACGTCATTATTCGCAGATGACATGACATTGTGCACAGAGAAGCCTAAGGAGTGCTTCGAGAACTACGAGGGTAATAAAGGAATTTGGCAAAGTAACAGGATACAAATGAACATCCAGAAATCGGTGACATTTTTATACACCAATCATGAATTCTCATAAAGAGAATCTAAAAGAACAATCCCATTTACCATTGCAACAAAAAAATGAAGAGACTTAGAAATAAACTTAACCAAGGAGGTAAAAGGCCTGTACTCAGAAAACTAAAGGACACTGGAAAAACAGAGGGAGATACAAACAAGTGGAGGATTACTCCATGTTCATGGATTGGAAGAATTAACATTATTAAAATGTCCATACCACCTAAAGCAATTTGTAGATTCAAAACAATCCCTATTAAATGCTGATGACACATTTAGAGAATAGAACCAACACATCAAAAATTGATATGGAACCCCAAAAGCCCCTGAAAAGCTGCAGCAATCTGGGGAAAGAAGAACAAGGTTGGAGGGATCCCAATACTGAACATCAGGTTACACTACAAAGCCACTGCACTCAAGCAGCCTGGTACTGACACAAGAACATCATATAGCTCAATGGAACAGAACAGAGAACCCAGAAATTGACCCAAGACATTATGCTAATTTATATATGACAAAGATGGAAGAAGCATACAGTGGAGTAGAGATAGTCGCTTCAATAAATGGTGCTGCAAAATTTGGACAGATATATGCAAAAAAAAAAAAAAAAGAAAGAAAGAAACTAGACCACCAACTTACACCACACACAAGAATAAACACAAAATGAAAAATAAAAGACTTGAATGTAAGTCATGAAGCCATAAAAATCCTAGAAGAAACCATAGGCAGCAAAAATCTCAGACATTTCTTGTAACAAAATTTTCATAGACACATGGCCTAGGGTAAAAGATACAACAAAAACAAAAATGAAATAAAATAAATGGGACCACAATGTAAAAAACACTTCTGCACAGCAAAAAAACAAACAAAGAAAAAAAAAAACACTATATGAGAGATCGTTTTTGCCAATGATAACTCCGTAAGGGCTAAATTTATTTCAAAATATATTAAGAACTCATACAACTTAACAAAAGGAAGACAAACAACCCAATTTAAAAATGGGCAAAGGGCCTACATAGACAGTTCTTCAAAGAGGACATGCAGATGGCCAAGATACATGAAAAATGCTCAAAGTTACTAACCATCAGAGAGATGCAAATAAAACAAACATGAGGTAGCACCTCATGCCTGCCAGATGGCCGCCATCAACAAATCAACAAACGACCCATGCTGGCAAGGATGTGGAGAAAAGGTAACTCTCCTACACTGCCCATGGGAATGCAGACTGGGGCACCCACTGTGGGAAACAGTATGGAGTTTCCCTGAATTAAAAATGCAACTTCCATTTGGCCTAGCAATCCCACTTCTAGAAATATATTCTAAGAAGCCTGAAACACCAATCAGAAGGAATAGATGTCCCCCTATGTTCATAGCAGCACTATTTACAATTGCTAAGATCTGAAAACAGCACAAGTTCTCATCAGCCAATGAGTGGATGAAAAGGCTGTGGTAGCCCGGCCAGTGTGGTTCAGTGGATTGAGTGTTGTACTGTGGACTGAGAGAGGTGCAGGTTCAATTCCCAGACAGGACACATGCCCGGGTTGTGGGCTCAATCCCCAGTAGGGGACACGCAGGAGGAAGATAATCATGTTTCTCTCTGACATCAATCTTTCTTTCTATCTCTTCCTCTCTATATATAAAATCTAGACATCATATTAAAACTAATAAAAAATTAAATTAAATAAAAAAACAGTGGTACATTTACACAATGGAATACTATGCAGCTGTGGAAAAGAAGGATATCTTACCCTTTGAACAGCACAGAGGGATCTGGAGAGTATTATGCTAAGCAAAATAAGCTAATCAGAGAAAGACATGTATCACATGATGGCATTATATGTGCAATCTAATGAACAAAATAAACTGATGAACAGAATAGATGCAGAGACATGGAAGCATGGAACAGACTGATGACTTTCAGAGCAATGGGTGGGAAGAGATAAACCAAAGAATGTATATGCACATATGTACAACCCATGGACTCAGACAATAGTGCAGTGAAGGCCAAGGGCAGGGGGCTGGAGTGGGGTGGATGGAGTCAATAGGGGGAAAATGGAGGGCACCTGTAATGAACAATACATTTAAAAAAGAATTGT